GTGCAGATAAAGTATCTGTTGAGATAAAGTATTACTTTAGGTTTTTATCATTTCTTTATTTATATTTATTCCTTTTATTTATTAAGCTAAAATACAACAATTTAATCATAAAGATAATTTAGTCACACAAGAAATGCAGACTCAATTTATTTCATGATTATTTCAAGCGAATTCCGATTAATTTATATTCATTTCTGTCAATGTAGATTAAGTTTAATTTCGATTCACATTGATAAATTAATTTACATTGATAAATACGAACATTAATCGACGATTTTTTATTTGTAACATCTGTTACAAAGTTTATTAACAAAAATAAAATTATTAAATCTCCATTATTTGACATAGAAAGAAAGATTGAATTAAATTTATGCAAATATACAAATTTTGTTATAAGTAATTCTGAACTAATTCTTTTAAATTAGTAATCGTCGACGTGAAGTTAATCAATATTTAGTCATTTTTAGGCATATATTATGGAATATTGTTGAAAATGGATTCCGATCGGAATTGTTCAATTATTTCCTAAATTTCTGTTGTATTTTTAGAGAAAACGAAATAATTCTGATCGGGATTCATTTTAAACAGTGATACGTACTTTTGAGATATCATTATCCACAAACGTATTGTGAAAATCTTTGGAAAAGATTCTTACAGCCGCAAAGAAAAGTTGCTAAACTAGATTCGTAATGCGTGAATCAAAGATAAAACAGGAATCGACATTGTCGACGAATTCATGAGTCCAACAGAATTTCTTTTTCATTCTCGTGTTCTTCAACCGATGGCGACGCGACATTCGAATCGAGCGGACAATACAAAATCGTCAATATCGATTAATGTTCTTCATCGAAGTAACCATAACGCGTGACGATTACAGTTCATTAAAGTCGTGGCACACAAAAAAATTTAAACGGTAAAACGTACTCTCTAAATTCTTCAGAGTGAAATCTTATTCTAAAGAGTGAAAATTGAACCAGCCTTGAAAAGAGTGGCTCAATTTTCAATTCTTAAGAGATTTCACTCTTCAGAATGAGATTCACTCTGAAATAAAGAATCTAGAGAGTAAAGAGTAAGCGAATTGGCAATCACAATAGAGACTATAAAGTCATAACGTTAACAATAGTAAACCCAACAGCTGTATGTTGATTTCTTTATTGCTTATATGTCTTACTGTATGTTTAACTATACTGTTCTATGTATTATGACCCTTATACGTACGTGATATGGTAAACAAAAAATAGAACTATCAGCGTAACGCCGCAAATGATGAATCACGCATCCCTCTTGTCCAGCGTATCGTGTAGGCTCGTGACTCAGGGGGAAGTATCTACGTCCCAAGGTTCCGAACAAATTAAAGGGTAGCTCTAAAACTTTTGTACTACATTCAATAGCGCTTTATTGTTTTATTATTAGCGAGGGACGCGTTATTTTTAGAGACCTAAAAAGTTTCTTTTATCAACACCGAGTAACACCGTTTTACGTTTGTACTTCCTCTGCTTTTAGGCGGGCTATTACTGAAACAAGGAGAAAAGAGAGAGAGAGAGAGAGAGAGAGAGAGAGAGAAAGGCAGAGAAAGAAGGAGAACAAAGAAGGAGCTGTGTTGACGTTAAGATGTTTCGCGCGCAACATAGTGTTTTGATGGTAATCGGTATATCAGAATAGGAACGCTCGAAAGGCGCTTAGTGGCAATGAAACATTACGCGTACTAGTAATCGCAACGTATACGAGACGTATACGATTCATTTCGGCACCGTGATTTCGCTCTATCCTTCCGGCGGTCTGTCCTCTCCCCTCGCTCCCATATCCCACCCTCCCCCCCCCGAATGTCCGAAAAAATATTTTTTTGACGCTTCTTCCCTGATCGCCGGCGATGGCGATCCCCCCATCCCCCGCCGCCCGACGCGATACAGCGACGGACAGCGACGCCTCCGCACGGCGTCGATCAATAACACCGTCGTCGGCGACGCCGACGTTGAGAGCGTCGTCGCGCTTACGAGGGAACGGCGGTGCGACGCGAGGCGTCGCGTTATCCGCGACGAGATCCGTTACGCCGTGCGTCGTCGACGGTTCAGCCGTGCAGCAGCGATCCGGTGTGAGCCTTTCGCGTGCGGGTACATGGCGATGGGCATGTGACTTGGGACACTCCCGTTCGAATCAGTTGCAAACGAGGAACGCACATCTGGGAACGACTGGGGAGAGCCGAGTACCGAATCGCCGAGGTCCCACCCACGACATGGCCAAGGTAAATTTCCTCCTGAAACGAAAGGGTTGAGAGGAAGAGAGAGAGAGAGGGAGGGAGGGGGAGAGAGAGAGAGAGGGAGCAAAAAGGAAAAAAGTGCAACTTACACGTCGAATCTCTCTCTCTCTCTCTCTCTCTCTCTCTCTCTTCCTCTCTTCCTCCGCCAATCGTAATATCGCCGATTCGCGGTAAACGGATGTTTGTTGTTATCGAGAGTATCGTTTTCCCGGGTAAACTCGCTTCCGGTGTAGAAAGAGAAAAACCTTCGGCGGCGTCGAGTGAAATAGTTGTAAATCTATTGACGTCGTAGGTCGCGGATTCGAATTAATGCGAATAGAGGAAGAAAGGAAGGCAAACACTAGGATGAGCAAATAACAACGGAAACGGTATTCATTACTTCGATCGTATTTGTATTTTTCGTGTTTCCCTGAATCGCGCAGAATCGCTTGTCGAGGGAAAGGTCACTTTGCGATTTTCGAATCGTGTGGATTCTCGTTACAACGGCCGTGTGGAAGGTGGTTGTTTAATTTCAGTACGTCTCCGACGTTCGTTGAATCGCGTTTCGCTCGCGCGCAAATCCGAGGTGCTTCAAGGGAAGAAACAAACGAATAAGGTAAATGGCGATGTGCCGCGAAATAATATCACAGCTGGATCGTATGCACGAGCGAAGACGAGGTACGATGCTACTTTTACATAATTTAGAGCACGTTCCACGGCGCAGACGCGGATAGATAATCTGGACACTGGCGAATTTCCCAGTGCTCCATTTACCGCACGCGAGAAATACGCACGATACACGCGCGCCAACAGTCCTCCAACGTGACAGACGCCGGATAATAAATGTGTCGGGGCCTCGGTGTGGTGATGCGATCAAGGAAATCGTGTTTCCTTTTATTTATTTATTTATTTTTTTTTTTGTAATTAAATCAAAGGTCGACTTTAAGAAAATCCCGCGCGCTTCGGCGACTAGATTAATTTCACAGTTAACGCGTGGGAAGACCGTAAAGAAGATTCTTGAAGATTCCCGAGACTTTCTAAACTAAGCTATAGATGCGTACATTATAGCACAAAATTGCTACAGGCACGCATCTCGCGAATTCTCTAATCTTTCCTTCTCAGTTAAAATAGACAAATGATGCAAGAGACACAGGTGTAATCCCTGAGGTAAGCCGAAAAAAAATCTTACCTTGGCGAAAATAAAAATCGGAGTAGAAGTCAAATGTAAGAGGGATATGGTACATAGAAAAATTTGTACAATAAGTGAATTGGCCAATTACAGACTGTAAGGTCATAACGTAATGGGCTGTCTACAATGAGAGTAATATTGTGTAGTAAGCCGTTTAAGCCGTAATCATATTAGTGATTGGATTAGCAATTGGCGATTACTTCGCAATCGCGGAGTAAGGTAGTCATCGATTGCTTTGCTCTAAACTTATTAAAAATCTAGTGTGATTACAGTTTAAGCTGTAAGAAATTGGCTAATCATAGTCGATTATTCTTCTGACATTCGATTGTACTTGATCGATTTCTTATATCTTACTATACCATATTACACTCATTGTAGACGGCCTTAAGCAATAGCAAATTCAACGTGTTAATTTTCTTACTGCTTAAGTTTTTTTTTTGTGTGCGTTATGAGCCTAAGGGGAAAGTGACAGAAGCGTAAATGAAGCTTCTAAGATTGGCACTCATAGCCGGTTCTTATATTTACGTGTTTTAAGTACGTAGACTTTCTACAATAAGCCATTACCTAAGCTTTAACTCTTAAGCCGTTGAAGAAATTGACTAATCATAGTGGATTATTCCTTGTCATATTTGACTGTGACTGGTCAATTTCTTACTTAAGGCTTAAGACTTAAAGCTTAAGTAACGACTTGTTATAGAGCGTGCGACAGACTTAAGATGTATCATAAGCCAATCAGAAGGGTCGTATTAGCATCTTAAAAAATTACCTAAGACAGTCTTAAAATAAAAGAGGCAACGAATATAGTAATCTAAGGCTCAGTTTTATAATTCATGGTTAACTCCTAACCGAGGTTCAACCTATTTCTCATCTTTATCCAATTCGGGAATTGAAAAGAGAGAATGAAACTCGGCCTAAGGGGCGAAAATTGAGGCAAAACGTAAAAAAAAGAAACATTTATATTTTCTCTTCGTATCTTAATTTTCGCTTTTTAGAAATTCTCATACACATTTTGATTACTCTCCCCTTACACTCGACTTGCTCCAGTTTATATTTTCGCCAGGACGTCCTTGAAAACTGCCACGTACGTCGCGATGCGACGATATCGAGCGGTCAAGCAGCCTGCTTCGCATAATGACGATAATTCGACGTTGCTCGTGTACAGTGTACACAGTGGCCACTCGGCGGCGAGTGACGCGACGCGCGGATTCACGGCTTGGTGAATGCGAATACCGGCCGTGTTCCGACAGGATAGAGTAATCGTCAACGTCGCTCACTCGCTCGCTACGCGCCTGGCGGTCGTGGCAACGACGGAGACGACGACGGCGGCGGTGGTGGCACGCGGCAGGTGTAATCGGGGATCGCGAAGCGAATCCGAAACGTTTTATTGTCGTACACGCTACGCCGCGTCGACCGCGACGCGATCGCGGCCTGTCGTTTAGTCGCTATCGATCCTCCGGCGCTTCGCGAGCTCAACGCGTCGCGCACCGCGCGCGATTGTTTTGCTTTCCTCGTTCTCGCTCGCTTCTTCTTCTTCTTCTCCTTCCCGTCCCGTTTCACGCCGCAGCGGAAAAACTCGGCACAGCGCCGCGTTCAGCGTATTGCCCGCGGGGAGATCCGCGACCTGGTCAGTGGTCACTCTGGTCAGTGCCGCGCAGTGAGAGATGCCAATGACACAGAGTACGTTTCTTCCTCTCTTCAGAATATCGCGTGGTAACTTGTTGCGAGTTTTCGTCAATGAGAAACAGTGGCGCGACTGGATGGGATAGAGAACAAGTGGCTGCCTCCTCGCATATGGCGATCTCGTCAAGAAAGACTGTGTCAATGGGTTCCATTGAAATTAATTACGATTTTACGGCGCGTCCTCATAAATGCACCCTCTGTGTCTTTATATGCACGCCCGGAGACGAGCCTGGCAGTCGGCAGTCTCTCTCTCTCTATCCATCGGACGGCTGTCGATTTTATTTCAACTCGCGACAATCGTGGACACGCGAAGAATGTTAACAAATAACGACAAACAACTTTTGCGATAGCTTATCTCGACGAAGATTATACAATTCCAGTATAATTTGTTTTATTTACGTGCAGTTTAAAGTGTAGTACTCGGTCAGGTAAAGAGTAAGATTTCGCCACGTTCCCAATTATTAACTGCACAATGATGAAACTGTAATGTTCAGTGTGCATTGTTGACATTGACACGATAACGCGGTTCAACACTCTGTCTTACGTAACGTCCGATAAGTGAAGTCGCTAATGTACGAAGACGCAATCCTCTGCCAAGGTACTCTGGAAATAGACACAACTTCGAGCTTACCCGTCCGAGCAGGTAGACTAATGGTGTTTTTCAGCAAGAGACACAATGTAACACAATGGCCATTTCATCTTCAAATTAGCAAACAAGGATCTAATGATTCATTGTGTTACACTGAATTTATTCTTTTTTTACCTAATCTTACACAATTCGTCTTTTCCTTTTTTTTCTCTCTTCAACGTGAAAAAAAAGAGGAAAGATGAACCGTGCAAAAAATTCAGCTAAGACAGGTTGAACAGGCATGAAATGACAACAAGCTTTTTTTTTTCGATTTTAAATTGCTTTCCACTTAGTGACACAAGTCAACAAGTTTTATTCTGCGTCTTTGTTACTCATTGAATGCCAAAAAAGATAGAATGATGTTTTATGTCATCAACTTGTTGCGTCATTGATGTCCGTTTCTACTAATATAATTTAATTATAATCTCAACTAACTCTTCATCTTTTTCTAGCTCTAAGAATCAAAAAAGGATGAGGAGTAAGTTGAATCGACATTAAAGTAACCCAGACCACATATTGAGACATAAGACGTCTTTAAGACATCTTTTAGGCGCCAAGGACGTCTTATGTCTCTCTTTTTGATACTTTGTGTTGTCTGGGAATCTACATTGGTAAAAACGGATTTACATGGAAAACATTCTCTGGTCAGTATTCATTCGATTCTTATATTTAAGACTCTTAAGTGCAGTCTTAAGATGTCATGAACCAAGTCAGAGTTGTATTAGCATCTTCATATTAATTCTACAATGAGTCTGTAGTCGGAATCGTCTTGATCGGTGAAGTTGGCCAATCAGTGTTAGTCGTACAAATTGATTATTGGTCAACTTCATCGATTGCACTTAGGACTACCGACTCATTATAGAATCGGCATAAGACATTACTTAAGACAGTCTTGAAGCAAAAAACGGACTCTGAATACCGATATGTCTCTGGCTGGAAAGCACTGGAACTCAAAACGGAAAAAAAAAAGGAAGCTATCACAACGCTACTCGCGTCGTGGTAACTTCCAATCTTTGTTGGATCATGGATTCATGAACAGGGCTCGGCGGTCGATTGTAAACGCGTGCCACGGACGCGGGAATGTATTCCATTGGAATTAAAATCAATTGCCGTGGTACTCCGCGCCGGCAACTACGCCGTCGATATATAACCAGTGTTACAAGTCACGCTGCCGCGCGCATTATCTTAATTGCGTGACATACAAGTCGATAATTGCGGCATGAGAAATTCCGTAATAAAATACGGTCTTGAGTTTCTACCTGAATAGAAATATGCGGTACGCGTATACGCGCAGCGATATTATTTTCTCCGCGATTTCGCCTCCGGGCAAGAAAGGAGAAGAGAAATATTTTGTATCACTCGACGCGGCGACTTTTAGTCGCTGCAAACTTGACGAGTGGTGGTAAAAATTAGATTGCCTTGTAATTCGTCCAAGAGGCGCGGACGCACTAGGCCGCACTTGGCACATCGTGATATTAAAGGTGGTCGGTTTTTCCTCGTTCCTTTTTTTTTTTTTTTTTCGTCTCGAAAAGTAACAAACCATGACCGTTGAACACGCGTCGGCACAAATTGGCTCGAATTAAACTGCGCGAATTAAACCCGTGCGAGATTTAGCCTTTTGCCACTTCGTTTTGCATACCGCCGGGCATGGCCGGCGCCTCGCTCGGCATGCAAATTTTATTCACGAATTTTTTAATTCGCCGCTCACACACACGCTCTCCCTTTCCTCTACCACTACTACGCTGACTCGCCGCTTTTTTTTTTTCCGCCTTAGCATTTTATTGTCGTGACAACACGTCGTCGCCTCGTGCTGCGGCGCCCGCATATATTACACTTAGGCACACCAGCGCGCGAAGCGTCGAGAAAATGGATATTTCGATAACGATAGGGAATAAAATCTAAGGATGTGAAAGGCGCAGGCGGGAAACAGGTGTGACCGTGATGATTGCTGACCCATTACGTTGCCGCTCTGCGTAGCTTCTGTTGATTCTAACGAAATGTATGTACACTACTCTTGTACAGCGCGGATCATTCCAGTGATATTGCTGCAACATTGCCAACGTTCCAACAATGTTGCAGCAAACTTCTATACTGTATGGATATACCATATATTTGTCAACGAGCTGCAATTGCTTTTATACACTGAAATAAATGCTACATCAATAGCATTATTTTAATATAAATAAATTCGTTAATTCACACCCACGCGCAATAATACTGTTATTGAAATATGTCATGCTCTTGTTTTAATTAAATTTTATTTATTTCATTAATGCACTACTAGTGAATCCATAAGATTATTTTCAATGCTGTTGATGCACCTAACATCTTTTCAATGTAGGCAAGTTACTTATGTTTGATTTGTACTCTTTGATACACCGCTATTTTTACTTTAATCCATAACTTTAAGATTATAGATAATACAGTCTGGCTAATTTTGTCAAAATTCTACGAGAGAGAAAGATATAAATACTTTCTCCCTGTATATACGTATGTTATTTCACTCTAACTTTTACTGTTTTACTTTATAATCTTAATTAAAGTTATAGGTTAAAATAAAAAATAGTTTTGCAACTCCAAGAATAAATCAAAGATAAATAAATTGCCTATAAGAGCGAATGCAATTAACTTCATTGATAAGAACATTCCAATTGTTTGCAAATTATATCTTATCGCTGTATAAATGTATTATTTACGTATTAATAACCGCGTAGATTCTTACAGGCAATTTACTTACATTTAAAGTTATAGAGTGAAACAGTATAAATTAAAATAAGATTGTAATATATACAAGATAGAAAAGTATATATACCTTTCCTTCTCGTAGAATTTTGATACAATCACTCACGGCCGGATTCCGTTAGAGTACCTAGTGATGTAAACGCGAGATGAAGAGAACGTCACGCTCGTGCGTAAGCACGAACGAAGGATATGTCATGATATTAAAAAAAAAAAATACGTACTTCCGCTGCGTTGTGTTTACACTTTGGCGCCTCTAGATAAATTAGCCTGATTACCTTAGATAAATTGGACAGATTATTCGACGCCGCTGCGTGATGAGCAGAACTGTTACTGTCATTTATATCCGTGCGTTGCTTTTTTTTTTCTCTCTTACTATCAACGGCACGCGGTGACGATCGGTTACGAAAATTTTAATACGCACGGTTCGGCAATAGGAAAAGAGAGGATCCGCCAGTAATTCACGGTCGGGAGCCCGACCCGTGTAGCGGTTCGCGGTAACCTAGTTCTCAGTCTCGTCCACATACTCAGCGTTCTATCGTCGGTGAACTCACGCACGCACTCGTCGATTACGTGCTGTCCCGTTTCTCGGAACGGGGAGAGCTATCGACGATATCTGCTATTATTCGTAGACACGCTAGCACAGTTTCGCCTCGTTCTGATGGTACACTTCAAATCGACGGGGAGGAAAGAAAAATAACTCCGACGCTGAGTTATTGGACATGTAAGTGGCGACATTAATATACCTCGCGTCTCTCCGAGAAAAGAAAACGAGCTTGGTAATTAGTCGTAATTATCTCGTGTTCATCGTCGCTTAGCGTTACATGCATCCGTTACGTGGCGAAAAGAAGGCGCCGTACAAAATCGCCGCAGTTATCCGCGTTTACGAGGAAAAGGCACGGGAGCAAGAGAGAGAAAGAGAGAGATATCACGCTGTTACGAACTAAAATTAAATTAACCAATTGTCAGAGACATTTCTGATTCATTTCCACGAGGGATGGAAGTATTATTTGGAAGTAGGCCAAGGACAATGGACTTCACTTCGCATCAAATTGAACCTGGCTTTGAAAAAAATTAAAAAAAAAATATATATATATATAAAATTACTACTCCAGTAATTAAGCAGTAATTAATTGTAACTAGGGAGAAATTCATTTTTTTTATCATTTCTACTATGATGATCTTTGCGTGACTCAAGAAATTGCGCGCTCATACCTCGTCCGCTATTCTCTTGTTCGCAGAACGTAGGGGAGAGTCGGATACCTGTTCCACGAGCAGCACGACCGTCGTTCTTCCCGAAATCGAGAGTACTCGAGGCATCGAGGCTCCTGACGGGAAGCCGCCGATCAACTATCTTCTCGGGATGCTTTCAATTTAACAGCGAGGACGAATCCCCCACTCCGCGGGAATTTACGGGATTCGCAACGTCTTCGCCCACTATCAAAAGTAATTCACGTTCACATTTATAATTAATTAAATATGTATGGATACGATCTAATGTAGTGTTAACGCAAACGAAACGCAACCTCGTGTTTCAGCTGATTCGGCGATAGACATACACGATCAGACATACACGATCTCACCCGCATGGGACATCGACAAGAATGATGTGCAACAATTGGTACATCTCAGCGAGGAGAAAAGCAGTTTATTCAGGTATGGATATCGTACACACGTTTCAAGTGCGATTCTATTACGGGACTCACGAATGCTTCATGTTGTACGTTGTCTCGTTGATGGCAGGCTACTTGAAGAATCTCAGCTGAGTATGATCGAGGATGTCGGTGACACCTGTCTCGTAGAATCGACTCTGAGCAGTTACAATGATGCGAGCGCAGCTCCGCATTATTTGATGCTGAACAAACAGAACTCCTTCGAACACGACGAGAGTCTCGGTATATTGACGCCGGACCAGATGACAGATTTCACGGTGGCGTTGGAATGCTCCAGGACACCATCCTGCGAGAATCTCACTGGATCGGCTGGCTCGAAATTGGCGTTAACTCGAGCGTCCGCTTCGACGAGACCATTAGTCGACGTGGAACCCGCGGAAGAGGGCTGTACCGAGAGAACACCATCGCCGGAAGAACTACCACTCGATCCTAAACCCGTGGAGCCGATCAGAGGTAACACCGTGCCGGTAAGCTTCGTCACATCGGTCACAAGTATCACTAGTCTGGAAGCGGGCTATCAGGGAGACGGTGAGAATTCAAGACCAGCTAGCCGTGGTGCGGATCCACCATCTATGGCAGTGCCGCCGGTCAATCTTCCTGCGCCTTGCCGACAAGATCCAATGACTGATTCGGATTTCTTTACCGAGAGTGACGCGGATGCACACGAGGAAATTGTGCGGGGCGACAGGAAGGCACAAGTAATCGATGGCACGCTATTCTGTGCACCGGGCGAACGCGTATGCCCCAGTTTCACCGGAGAAGAAATGGATTCGAGCGGAATTTACTCGGACTTGGACAAGCTACAGGCGCCTGGTGAGCAAGCGCCGGAAGAGAATGATGACTATACTCCTGATACCGGAGATACCGAACTCTCCCAAAGGAGCCAGCCCTCGCCTATTGTGGCGAACGTTATCATGGATTACTTACAGGTACGTTAATGTGAAGGCGAGGTTTAAAATTAGTTATAAGAAAGGAATTTTTGGAATTTCAAAAAAATTTCTGTGTATGTATGTGTGTTTGTGTGTGTGTGTGTATATAGAGTCCCGCGAAGGCGTCGGATGAAACAAGCAACATGAATGACACAACGACCTCTGCTGAAGTTACAACGATTGAAAAAGTTGAAAAGAACGAAAACATCAGGCCCAAATCACAAAGCAAAGCCGATACGATGCCTTTGAAAAAATATAAAATGCCAAAGAGAAACGTTGTCTCGAAGATCAAGGCAATGATCGAGTCGTCGTCGAAAGACGATGCAGAAAAGGAAGCGAGACGTTCTCAGAGATCCGCCAGAAAGGGTGGTCGCTGGGACGCTGTGATGAATAAAATAGAGGCTGGTAAAAATGAGCAGAGAACGAGATCAGTTAGAAAAGAAGTAAAATCAAGAGTATTGCAGAATCTCACTTTGTCACCTTCCACGAGACCAGCATCGAAGAAAGCAGGCGATGCAAACAATAATAATAATAAGGATAAACGGTGAGCCCAACTGAAATTCTAAATAAAATTCAATATAATAAATATATTGTACAATATAGATATTTTATTTTTATTAATAAGCGAAATATTTTTTCGTATTAATAATTTTGGTATTAATAATTAGTAAATCCATCCCAAATATTATATAATTGCCGAGCAGTGATAAAATAACATTTTTTTCTGTATCAAGAATTATATTGGAAATATTTTTGTCTTAGGAGGATGCGTGGTTGGCAAGAAATGAAATCACCGACGCAGGAAACAGCCAGGAGTTCTGTCCGTAGTTCGATGAGTGACCTCAGTAGTGGCCCAAGTAAGGACATATCAAGTAAGTAGCATCGATATCAATATTTGAAGAATTTGCAATATGCTAGATCACATAGACGTGATCAAAATTATATTATATTTATTGAATAAATTCTTAAACATAAATTAATATTCAAGATACGTAAGGTTTTCTCAATGTAACTTATACTTGGTACAAGCTCTTTATTTGCATTCGGGAAAGTAGATACAAATGTTCTTGTGAACTTTATGAACATATTTCTGGCTATGGTGAATAATATTAATACTAAAATTTCTTCGCAATAATAAAAGTGATCTTAACGTCAGTCAAGATGTGTGTGAATTAGAAATTAATAGAGCCAATTTTATCTCGCATTGAAAAAAGATATAATAAATTAATATGACCTCAACGGGTTGTTCGTACAAATTTGGAGAGCGGAATTATCCCAATTTGTAAGGGTCAATGTTTTACCCCGACAAGAAGGATACGCGCGAGCAGAAGAGATCTCCGGATCCTTTACGTGTCGCTTACCTACCGGAGGGAAAGGCGAGGTCTCTTTATCGACCCGAGAGTAAAAGCTCGAGTTTCGAGGACGCCGAGGAACTTTATTGCCCCTTTTGTCGGCGCCAATGGGGAACACAAGGCGTCATTTTGCTTCCACTGTAGAATAAGAGGAAACTGCGTCGAACCGGCGCGCATCGCGCAGCTTCGCCGCAGTCGCATCCAACATCCACCATCCGGTCGGCAGTCCTCGGTGGCTCTCGTGCTGGGTCGTACAGTGTGGTGTACACGTGTGTACATATATAGATGGACATGTACGTACACGTATGTGTGGATCTTCCAATGCAGTAACCGTCTATCGTCGTCCTTCTCCCGCGAGACGCGCACCTATCGTTCCTCGCTCTCACACGCTTAAAATCGGGTCACCGGATAGTGCGTGACGGTGCGTAAGGAACCCATACACGGGGGAAGGA